ATGGGTGTGTTAGACACATGGATGCATTACCCACGCCCATTATTATTATTATTATTGTTCACACTTCCTACCTTTATGTTGCAGTTATGTGATGGACGATGAGTGAGTGTTGGATTAATTACACTAATTGCTCCGTTTTGTCATCGTTGTTGTTTCTTTCTCCCTAGATGCATTTCTCTTAGTAACTGAGAGGATAACCAACCAACTAATATCGACATCATAGATTAGTTACATAATGAATAACATGAACATTTTCTCGCCCACTATTCAGATTTGTTTTTTGTTGAATTATTATGACTTTACGTTTTCTTTCGTCAAAAAATGAGAGGGAAGAAAAACTCTAGGTAGTGGAGGGTGGAGAGGTTTATTCGGAATCAGTGAACATCGGTGTTGTTTCTACCCATGTATGTATGTAATAATTCCAGTAATGTTTTATTTATATACTCTCACAGGAACTTAGACACTTGATAAATGCTTGAAACAATTAATAACATGACTGACGTTGAAGTCACCTCCTCTGTACATCACACTCTTGTTTTGTTTTATGAGTATAAATCTGAGGTGTGCCGCTCCCGGTCTTTGTAGTACTCACTTTCTTACCGGTCAGTAAAGAGCTGACTAAGATGAATATTAGTCAGTTAAACAATCAGAGATGAGTCGAAAATTATTGACTCCTTCTTTACAACAACAAAATAACCGACTAATTCCTTTTTGTTTCTGTTTTTCTCTCCACAATTTCAGCCTGATGAGAGTCAAAACTTGAGAAGGTTGATATGTTAAGTCTTTGTTACACCGTATTGGAACTAGTTGCTAATTTCGCTAAAGATAAACCTGGAAAAAAGAAAAAAACCAAATCTCTTCCTTCAGGTCGTCCTTGGCTTGATGACGAGGCGAAAAGACTCTTTGCCATCAGAAATGAGGCATTGAAAGAGTTAGAGAAGGAGGAAAGCAAAGAAAAAATGTATCCAAATTTTCTTTGCTTTCCTCCTTCTCTAACTCTTTCAATGCCTCATTTCTGATGGCAAAGAGTCTTTTTGCCTCGTCATCAAGCCAAGGACGACCTGAAGGAAGAGATTTGGTTTTTTTTCTTTTTTCCTTTTTTCTTTAGTACATCTTGTAATGCAGTGTACAAGTTACATAATTCATCCTTATCCAAATACTTAACTTGTGCAAATATTTCTTTTCCACTATCAGCTTCAGAAGAAGCCTTTTCATTTGATGATTGTTTCATTATTTGCTTCATTGTTAATTTTTTCTTCGCTCACTTGTGAAGTAGTACATTCAAGTTTGGACACAAGATCTCCGGTAACCATCATATCCCAAGGTTGTGGGTAACGTACTGATACACAATTATTTCGAAACATACCACCATTTTCGTTTTCAATTACATTTTCGGCGGCTGTAGAGTTTTCAAACTCTGCAAATATTAACTTTTCATAAATAGATAAACGTTTAATAGCCCCATATGGAGCTAACCGCGCTCTCAGTGAATCAGGTTTCAAATGATGAGCATTTGTTACACCATCGATGACAACAGTGCACGAATCAGTCATGTTTCTCAATATCAAACTTGAAATGTCACTCTATATAACACTGTGTGATTTATCAAAATAAAATCTTATCCATATTGGAGTCACAACCCAATTTGTCGTCTACTTCCGTTAAGCCATGTAGAATGCATAAACGTGAACAGACTAGTTTGCCATCAGAGTTCCTAAACTTAAATGTTATGACATCGTGAAAACAATCAACAAACAAGTAAAGAATTCATTGGCTGCAACTTTTCCTAAAGTAGAATTGATTGTTAAGTAGTACTAAACCATACGATCACTAGCCATCTCAACACAAGTGAATGAGTAACTTTTCTCAATCCAGCTCCACTACACAATATAACAATTCACTTACAGTTGCTGACGCAGATATATTGAATTTTAATAAGAAGAAGAGTGTAATCAACGTGTTCCGAAAAGAAAATCGTTACGAGAAAGTATCACTTTGAACAGCTTTGTCGTTTCACAGCATTTGATTGCCAAAGGATATTTACTACTTTGAATTCTTCCGAAAATATAATCAAACAAGTTTAATTCTTCTTAAGTTCTCCGGTACTACGACCACAAAACACTTACAATCTGATTATAAGTGTACACAAAAAAGGAGGCCGATTAAAGCCTACACAATAAGAATAACTCAAATTTATTTAAATGAGCTTAATTATATATATATTTTTAAATCATGGAAAATTCCCATTGAAACATATAGAAAATCAAAACAAGTGATTCAGCGAAGAGACTCTTTTCAACGAATTTATCATCAAGCTGTACAATCGTATATATATGGTTTTTAAGAAGTTATATCCGGTGAGGGAATTGAAACATAGGTGTGAATGCATGAAATAATAATAATATGAATCTAAATCAATTCCTTTATGCAACATTAAATTCTATGCTATTAAATTTCACACAATATTACGTAGCGTTTTTATTTTTTCGATTTGTCTACTAATCTTATAATTGCACACCTTTTTCAAGTTCTATCCATCCTATGAATTATTCTATATATGACATTAATTTGCTTTGCCACTTGACATTTAACCACGATTATAATCACTAACATTTTAGTTTTAATTGCACTTCATATTATTATTATTATTATTTCATGCATTCACACTTATGTTTCAACTCCCTCACCGGATATAACTTCTTAAAAACCATATATATACGATTGTACAGCTTGATGATAAATTCGTTGAAAAGAGTCTCTTCGCTGAATCACTTGTTTTGATTTATATATATATATTTCACAAATTTTAATTGGTGTCTTTTCCTAATATCTCATGGTAGTATTATATTTCTGCTGAAACGGAGTATTTCAAACTCTGAATGTAACCACATATTTTGCTACTCCAGCTGCAAAGCAGATGGGTTGGGTGCTAATTCATTTAGCAATACCAATGAATACAACAGGGACTGAACGAAAAGTTGCTGAAAACCAATAGTTAAGAGTAGCTGTCTCACAGGCGTGTGACAGAGCTGTGGAAATTAACAAGTAATGACTGTCTAACTTGGCTGGGTTTCAACGTAAAAATTTTCACTGAAATGCAGAAGTTCAGATTGCCATGCTCCATGTGATTAAGGAAGGTAGAGAAGAAATTCAAAAGAACTACGATGAGCAGGATTGTATAGGGGAAAGAAGAGTAACACGGAGAAATATGAAGACTTAGTGGATCTGGAATATTATAAAGGGTGAGTGCATCTGCGCCACTGAAAACAGTTGAGTAATATCATTAACAGTCTCTAACCGTTGGTTCCTGGCGTTTCGACAAACGCCAAACAGGCAGTCCACAACTCCCCATGTGGTTGGCTCAAGCCCACAGTTGAAGACATCACAGATTGATGACAGGTTTTGATTCGACTATTTTCAACCCAATTCTATCTCAGTAAATAATGACAATCGAGGAAGGAGATGGCTACGCAGGCGTAACACATGTCTAACCACCTCAATCGATGTAGCTTCACAACCTCATCGATTGATTGCCCCTCTTTACCTAATACACGACGCCTAAGCTCAATATTACTCAATCTGTCATACCACCTAACACACGACAAGGAACGCAGATACCTATGATCAAAGGCAACTAGGCTATTCAGTTCCTCCGATTTTAGTGGCCATGTCTCACATGAAATGCATACACCACTAAACAGTCGATAGCATATTACGTCATTAAGATCTTGGATTATGCTACCTAAAATGACTGTTGAAATACCTACTTGGTCGTTGATGCATTTAGCCACAATTACGAATTCGACAAAAAGAAGGAATATTGAATTACTTCATTAGTCTCTACTTCTGAGAACACGGTTAAGTAATTGCGGACTTTCTCCGAAATAACCGTTCAGAGTGCCATTTTTAGCAAACTAGCCAACCGGCAAACAGACCTAAGAAACAATTCTGCTTTTCAAAAAAAGACTACTAGGCCAGAATTGTGCTATTTTACGCTTGAAAAAGTCAAGAAAATCAATCACAACTACGAAACCATTTTATCAACCGATATCGGTAATACTTTATTGTGCAATGAAGTTTACAAGGTGTTTTCCTAGCTAAGAAGTGAATTCCCATAAAATGTATTACCAGTTTCACTTAGACTAGCAAAGCTGAATTCTGTTTAAGAAAAGGAATGACAGCTGATTGAAGTACTACCAACTTCATTGGACTTTGGTTGGCAGTGTAGTTTGAAAAAAAGGAGAGAAAATTATACTCAAATATGTCCGACATATATACCGTCACTTAACCTCTGGTGAGAATTGTGATCAGGCTGTCTTACTAGATAAACGCAAATAACATTCCACCCACACACCCACCCCCATTTGTGACAGATATCATCATATTCAACCAATTATTTATCAGCATAAAATGAGTGTCATTAAATTCACACACACAAAAAAAAACGCCAGTTTATCATTAGATAATGTTCTCCAAATTCAGGTGTCAGTTTGTAAGGATTTAATTGATGTCAAGTTTAACCAGGGAGTACTGGACATCTGTTTCGTCCTAGTTTGGGACAGCCCCGGCTGCATGTATCCATGACCCTACTACAGGCGAACTGACAGAAGTTAAAATACATAGGTTATTAAATTCCATCCCAGTTGCTAAATGGTCAGAGGGTTCGCCTCGTAATCGGAAGGTGTTAGGTGCGTACTGTCGAAGGGTGTCCAGTATTCCCTGAGTAATCAGTAGTCTCCTAACTGATGTCAGCTCGTGATCAAATTTGAAACTAATCAAATCCCTGGAAACTAACACCTGAATTTGGAAACACCACCTAGTAGCAGCACAGACAATCGAAGAAAGTGAGTTTATGCGCATATTAGAATTATAGAACATTGATAGATATGACTACTTGCTCGTCTATGACAACAAGAAACACAACACAAAGATAGACACTATGAAATGACAACTGATAATAATAATAATAGTATTAATAATTGCAGTATAATATGACTTACTGTTGCTTTTAAACAACGATTACTTTGAACAAAACGTTTATATATCCGACCTTTTGTATTTACACGGAATTCTTTAACCGATTGACTATAAACAGGTTCACAACTAGATTTAGCAATATTAGTGGATAATTTCATTGATGGACTAGATGTACTGATGCATAATTCCACATCAACATATGTATCAATATGAGAATAATGCGATGGAAGTGGATATGCTATGCCACGGAGAACAGTTACCTCCAGGACATCATCACCTAGTTCAGCATTAATATTTGATTTTGGCAAATTAGCATATTCAAAGTAAGGTGTTAGTATACCGACTTGATGACTATGCTTAGATAATACTTTCTTTATGCATGTATTAACACTCATTAGATCAGATAGTTTTGAAATGATAGACTGATCGCCATTACGACGATGTTCAGTTATCAGATGATTAACCAACTTTTCTTGTTCTGATAAAATTTCCGAATACACCTGAACTAGATGATCGCCTAATGAATTAGAAGATAAATATTATTAACAAACAAATAATAATAATAATAACGAAAAGCTGGAAACATTTCACATGGTATATAAGAGGTAAACATTTCTCAAAGCAAAAGTATACAACCAACGCATACATAAGAATAAGACAGAAACTGTATTTTATTTAGTCGTATCGCTTTTGTGTACTTAGTAGAAAATAGTGAGGGGGTGAGGCTTCAGGCTTTCAAGTCCCAGTTGTAATGGTATTACTTTTTACGAGGTGAGATTGTTAGCCTGACTCCCAACCTACCCTCTTTTCCGAGCTTGTTACAAGCCAGTTGAGGTTTACGAGTGCGTCAAGCGGGAGCAATTGGCTGGCGTCCTACCGCTGAACTACCAGCGTATATCATATTACTGAAACGATCCGCAAAATAAAAATCCACCAATAAATTTTATAGGTTTATGACAGACATCCAAGGGTTTTAATGCTTGGTCATAGGAGGCTGGAATTACTCATCAAACATTCGCGGTTTCGCGCTCTTGATAATATTATTATTCCCTTGCGTCTTGAGTGGAATTCACGAATTCAACACCCCGGCTCCATTTCTTTCTGTTCTCCGGTCTTTTTTTAGCTGGCTCAACCACTACCCATAAGCTTTCATCTCCTCCATGTCATCCTCCGGTCCACAGCCAACTCGTCGTTTCCCATTCATATCCCACTCGACAGTTTTTCTGGAGTGTGATGTCACTCGGTCTTCTCAGCATGTGACCAATCTATCTCCATTTCTTTCGACAGTTATTGACAATAAGTCACACTTGTGTTAGAACTGGTAATAGCATAAAATTGTCTAAAAACGGAAAATCACAGTCCACTATCTGGAAGACAGCAACCATAGTTATGATAAATTTGAACTGTCTGTTATAACGCAATGAATTGAGATAAACCGCGTCGCCAATTTGTTGTAACTGTAGCGGGAATTAAAATGAGGTACGTTGTCGCCTTGTTCTGTCTGCGCCTGAATAATATATCTATCTGCTTCTGGTACCTTCCGACTCAGCGAACCACGCAAATATCAAAAGACAAAGTCTGGTCTGTGACTGTGTATTGTAGTACAACGATTACGACTACAACGACGACCACGACAACGACAACTAAACTTATTTAGGAAATGGTATTTATACAATTTTACAACCAATAGAGACAGCTAACAGTATTCGAAATAATTGGTCGTAATAGTCAATAACAAAATGCGTGGGAATGATGATATACCACATATGCGAGATTAACAGTCATTAAGATAACTGAACAATAACAAAGTGCCTGGGAAATGATAATATAACACATATGCGAGATTAACAGTCATTAAGATAATTGACAATAGCAAAGTGTGTGAGAATTGATGATATACAACTTATACGAGATTAACAGTCGTTAAGATAATTGAACAATAACAATATGCGTGAGAAATGATAATATACAACTTATACGAGATTAACAGTCGTTAAGATAATTGAACAATAACAAGTGTGTGGGATCCTATCACCTCCCCCCGTTAAAAGTGTAGGACTTGCTTTTTGGACCTATTTGAAAAGGTTTTGAAGCTCTTCTTTGTCGAGTTGACTTTCGCGTACTGGATAGATTGTGATCTGCGTCCCGGGCTTCCGGCTGCGGAAGGATTTGGCGTCGTACGATAATGCAGCGAGAATCTGTGCAAAATTTCTTCTGTTGTTCCCTCCCCCTTCGGTTTTGCATAAGCACTTTGGTAAATTTGCAGCAACCAAGTTTGTCCTGGAAAACAGAAGCACGCTTTTGACGCAGGCGTTGTAAGAGAGACTGATCAGATACATGTGCGGGAACAACATTATTTGGTGAGGACGAAACATTAGAGCATACTGAATTTAATGGTACATTGAAGAAATGGAGCTTGTCTAACCAGTCAAGACCAAGCAAATTCAAATCATGGTAGTTTGTGACATAACATACACCATTGAACTGTTGCTCACCAAACTGAACCTGGCAATTTATCTCACCCACGAGTTTCAGTATATCTCCAGAGGCATTCTTAGCGACATGCTCGGTGGGCAGAATCTGTGGGCACCCAAGTTTGCGCCACGTAGTTCGGGAAATTAAGGTGATATCTGATGCCGTATCCAACTGAAGACGAATAGATTTGCCGTTAATGCGTAGTGTAATGTACTTACGTTTGCTGGCGAAATCGACTTTGGAAGTTGTGAAAATGGTCTGTACTCGAGGAGATTGTTTCGGCTTGAAACGACTACTTCTGTTCTTCATCGAAGAATTTTTCTGTGGTGGACAGTAACCCTCTTTATGTCCAAAACGGTGACAATTACGGCATTTATGTTTCTTGAAAGGACAGAACTTGACAAAATGCCACGAACCACAGTGCCAGCACACTGAAGGAGGTTTAGCTGAATTCTGAGACTGACGTGCTGTGTGCTTAACGGTGATCGGAGGACTTTTCACTGTGTTAACTGAATCAAATTCAGACGACTGTCGTTTGCACTCCACCATAGCAGTATCGTGCTTCAAGTTGATTAAGCGTTGGCATTCTGCTGTCACCATTTGTAAAGTCATTTTCGGGTCTTGTTCCACGAGTGACAGAAGTCGAGTTCTTATATCAGCATCTTCTGGGTTCTTCAACCCACAAATAAAAATCAAACACTTAAACTGATCTGATGTCATTTCATGTGGTTTGAACCTTTCGCATTCTTTGTTCACTTTGCCAGCGTAAGTAACATAATCATCGGAAGGCATTTTTGTCAACTGAAAACATTGATACCGAATATTAAACATGGATGACTGTTCACCAAAGATTTGTGATAAAACGGTGACTGTCTCATCGAATGACAATTCACGTGGGTTCTTAGGCAGAATGAAGTTAACATATCTGTTGTGCTCAACAGTACCAAGTTTTCGTAGTAACAATCGGACTTTGGCAGCATCATCAAACATGTGGCATTCAATACGAAAAACGTCTTCATAACGATTGAACCATGCATCAAATACGAGACCAGATATTGGGTCGTAGTTGAATTCACTGATGGAATTTGAGATGCTTTCGTATTTGTCTGAATGAGATGTTGATGGAACTTGAATTGACAGCTTCTGAGTGAGAGCTTCGATTAATTTAAGTTGAGCTGCTTCATTCTGAAGTTGCTGCTGCTGCAAGATGGATTTGAGATCGTCCAGAGAGATAGACATTGTAATTGGGTTGTAATTAACACAGTCAAAAATGTTCTATAGATGCGCTGAACAGAATAAAACACGTCGTCGCTTGCTTGTTATAACTGCAATGAATTGAAAGTAAACCCCCGTCGCCAATTGTTATAACCGTAATGAATTGAGATAAACCGCGTCGCCAATTTGTTGTAACTGTAGCGGGAATTAAAATGAGGTACGTTGTCGCCTTGTTCTGTCTGCGCCTGAATAATATATCTATCTGCTTCTGGTACCTTCCGACTCAGCGAACCACGCAAATATCAAAAGACAAAGTCTGGTCTGTGACTGTGTATTGTAGTACAACGATTACGACTACAACGACGACCACGACAACGACAACTAAACTTATTTAGGAAATGGTATTTATACAATTTTACAACCAATAGAGACAGCTAACAGTATTCGAAATAATTGGTCGTAATAGTCAATAACAAAATGCGTGGGAATGATGATATACCACATATGCGAGATTAACAGTCATTAAGATAATTGACAATAGCAAAGTGTGTGAGAATTGATGATATACAACTTATACGAGATTAACAGTCGTTAAGATAATTGAACAATAACAATATGCGTGAGAAATGATAATATACAACTTATACGAGATTAACAGTCGTTAAGATAATTGAACAATAACAAGTGTGTGGGATCCTATCACTGTCAATAACAGACAACTTAGTGATTAGTCTATTTTCTCTAAGAGTATCCAATACAAATAGGCATACAACTCCTTTCCTTCTAGCCTTCATCCCGTACACTAATTGATTCTATTTATTCGGATCGATATCGTAATACAAACAGCTAAAACCAGCACTTTTTAGCTCCTTTAGTTAGGAAAATGTGAAGTGACTAATAATCCCCATGTAGTATGAATGCATAATTACATAATATCATATGAAGAAAGTGATCCAGGTAAGTCATGCAGTTTCAGCTCTAACGCGCAGTGTGATACTGACACCCACTAAGCCGGATGCCCACATTACATGGTCTCTAGATAGTCGGTCGGCCGGTTTTCGACATAGAACTTTGCACATATGTGCGGCAGTTCAAGTCGCCACACTCCATGTAGCACACAAAGCAAGAGAAGAAAGTAGGAGAAATGCATAATATAGTCAGTAAACAGAGGTGTGAGACAAAGGAATAGTGATAACGGAGAACAAAGCAGTTTCATTGGAAATCATAAGCCATAAGGAGTGGATGCATCTGCGCCAGCCATTGAGAACGATTTTGAGCCATGTGACCAATTGTTTCCAACCATTGGTTTTTACCGTCCCGAGGACCCCAACCAGGAAGTCTACACCTTTCTATGTGGCTTAGACTCTCTCGATAGTAAAATATGTTACACGCTTGCAGATGCAGAAGAAATTAACTAGGATCTTGGATGTGAGTTCTTTTAGGATTCTGACTAAACCTGTATGTCGCCTGATTCGGATTAGTCTGTGAAAGATGTAAGGGGAAAGATCGGATGAAACAGAAGGTTTCAGAATATCCATGCTAGATATCAAACAAGAGGTCAATATATTCCGAAGGCAACTAACTGTCAACTTGAAATATTAGAGACATGCGCTGAGATTTCAAATGATAGCGAACAGATAAAGACAGTGAAAGCACCACAAAACGTAAAGGTGATGAAATTATAACGAAAAGGTATATATATGCAATTATAAACTAAAATGAAAAAGGATTAAATTGCAGAATATACGACTGAAAAGTAATCTGTGAAAGTGTACATGCTAGTAAAATTTCCACTTGTGCGAGGGTTGAGATACTCCCTAGACTTCCAGACCGAAGTAGGCGAATGTTTTTAAGGTACCATCCTATGAGCTTTTAACTTGAAGTCTCATTCACAAAGCAGTGTGGCGATGCAGCTTCAGGAGATACGTTCCCATGGTTTCTGATGACCGAATCAGGTTTGTACGCTATTCAATTCTTGGCTACTCTGAAGCTCAAGTACACCATGGGTTTGGAATCAAGGTGGCCCTCCATGTCTATCGGTCTAGTCATAAGCTAACTGGATTTCAACGTACACAAAATTACAGCAGTTGAAGTTGTCACACACAAAGGCAGGGAAAAAAATTCTAAGGAACTATGATGAGCGGAAATGCACGGGAAGAAAGAAAAAGTACTATGGAGAATAATGAGCATTTTATGGACCCAAAAATCTATAAAGAGCTAGTGCATCAGTGCTAATGAGGAGGATTTTGAGCTATGTGAGCTGGTGATCAACACCAAATACTCGCATTCTTGTTTTCAGTTTTCTAAGAACACTCGTGACGCCCACCGCATCAAGGTAGTGAACAGAACTCACCCATCAGAGAGGCTAAGGATATGTGGCCACACGACAGTATTTCGAAAAGAAGACCAGAGTCTACCCACCATCAGTCATAAATTATTTTGCAATTGGGGTTCTCATATCTATTTTGAGACTCATTTCCGTACAGACAAAGAACAAGTATTACAGAATTATTTAAAATAATGACATTGTTTAGCAAATCCAAATAAGGTTTTCCTGAATACTTCACTGTGTAAGCCACAGTCTTTTCTCAGACGAATTTACTCGGAGTAAATTATTTCATAATGATTCAATCAGACTCGGTGTTCACATCATTCCAGAACAAGTACTCATTTCATACGGAAAAAAGATGCATAGTATGAAGAAACAGCAACCTGAATAAAAGGCCTATTCACAGAAACCTACCCGAAGATGTTTTGAGGGCGACTGCATACTTCACAGGTGGATCACAGTTTGATCCGCTTAAAATTGGCTTATATGCGGCAGATTCATTAAGTGTAGGCGGTCGTGGCAACTGGGATAAATCAACTGGAAAACCAGCCTCAGCAGCTTGTATCATTTGATTCATTCCCAGGAATGATCGTATATACTTTTTGGCCAATTCAATATTACCTGCTTGTTTAGCAAGTTTAGCAGCTTCTTTTAATTCATCCTGACGTTTGGTTAAAAGTGTAACAACAGCCTCAGATTTACTTTTTCCTGAAACTTGTCCACAACTAGGCTTTGATAAAGCTGCTTTAGATTCATTACTACTAGTGGATTTTCCACCTTTAGATATTTTAGAACGATCATTTAACGGAGGATAACCTGGAGGAGGAACTAGTTCTTCAAATTCAAAGGAAGTATATCCATTTTCACAGGCGCGTAATCCTTCTTCATATCGATTAAGAATACGATTGTAACGACGTCTTTTTGAATCTTGTGACGGATCATCGCCTATTTCTTTCATCTTTTCCTTAATGAAACAAACAGTATTAAAAAAATAAAAACTTTGATAAATAACCACCGAAAAATTTCCTGTTAAAATAATTTCGAAATGAGATAAATGCAAACAAGTAACAAAAGTGATTTACCTACTTCTAATCTAATCACACTTCCGTATACAATCATGCATCTCTTCAAATGCCCGATAAGCAACTGTATCTTAGCTCTGTCAATGACATAAATGACAATAAAACAATATAAATGGCTGCTATACACCTCACAAAACACTGTAGGATATAATACCTGAGAAGAGAAGCGGAATCTGTCAATCTTAAGTGGGGTTATGGATGAGTGTACTGAGTACACCAACAACCACTGGGAATATAAGTAATTCTGGTGATACATACTTTATAATAGGCTATACGTGCCAAAATATTTTCTGAGCAGATAATAGACGTCTTCATAATATCTGGGACTGTTTGTTTCGCTGCTGTCGGTGGCGGTGGAGGTGGCGGTGCGACGACAGCTTCACTTGAATTCTCTTCACCTTCACCAGAAAATTCGTATTCCGATGGTGGTGGAGGTAAGTCGGTTTCAGGATCGAATGTTTCTTTACCAGCTTCAATATTGACAATCGCTTCACCAATACACTTGGACGCTTCCAATAATTCCTTTGCTTTACCGAGTTCTCCGTCATCACGAGCTTTTAAAGCAGCTAACTGTACAACAAAAAATTTGAAATAAAAGTAAATTGAAACCAAGATAATGGATTAAAAACAAAATGGTTAGTAAATGTTTTGAAGGTGATAACTTGTTAAAAGAAACGCCTGATCGGTGTTAAGCTAAAATGCATTTTCCTCTGTGAAAATTTCGCTATCCTAGTAAAATACCGTTATAGTATCATGATGTGGAATCTTCTAATATCCAATGCAAAATAATCAACAAGTTGATAGAAGCGTTCCAAATCAACAATAAATGGAACGAATGCAACGAAACAACTCCAGCTTCATGCACTGAGCATAGAACCCAAGTAACAAAATGACAGCTATTTGGCTGCCAAACTCGTGCTGACACTCTGGAGTACGGTGTATTTTGTGCTGTCTAAGTGTCAAGTACTATTGCAAGACTGACAGGAACCTGTACCTGAACTCACTTTTGCAAATGAACCGTTTCAAGTCGAGAAGTTCGTGAACTTACGCAGTTGTGTGTGAGTGCTGGAAGACGTGTGATGGATGAAATCTCTAATCGCATAGTGAAGGCTAAGGCGGCTTACTCCAATTTGAGCCGTGTCTAGTGCCATCGTGATGTCAACCTCGCTGTCGAAGGTCAGATTTACAACGCCTAAGTGCGCGTCATCTTACACAACGCCTGTGAAACCTGGTTTGTCCTAGTTGAGGATGTGCGGTGACTGCATATTCAATCATCATTGTCTCCGTATAAGTGCCTGCGTCTAATGGCATAATCATGTTTGTACTGAGGTCCGACAGCGTGTCTTTGAACACAGTGGAGATCAACATTCACTGAGTGTAGTCATCTGGAAACACCGGCTTGGTGGCATGGACATGTACAACGAATGTCATCCCAGAGGCTTTAGTACTAGTCACTGTTCGCTGGCTTTGGATGGAAAAAACGGAGAGGTGGTCAGTCTATGACATGGTGTCATGGGATGAAGGATACTTGTTTTAGGTTAGCCTCGACTGATACATCACGAATCCTTCGTTGGCATCTGACAGACATATCAAATCGGTAGCTCAAAACATTATCAGATTTGGCCAAGAACTGCAGTCAATGGCGAACATGTTGCAATTTGCTTCTTTCATCTCTTTCTGAAAGTAACACGTGAAGTGGTGAATGTTGAATGAACGATCTTGACAAATATGCTTACTTGCTTTCTATCCCTATTCTCTTTATGTATTATTGTTGTTTTATTATTGCTGTATGGCGCATCCCAGGCTGTGAGCTACACGTGTTGTGTGAAGACTGGTGATTTCACTTGTTTGCCTACACTGAAGTAAGTGGATTGAGATTCAAACCCAGAACTAATCATTAGCTAGAAGTAAAGTGTCAAAGCCAGCAGTCATATATCTGCTTACACCAGTGAGTCCATTGGCTAACAGTGTGATTATTCAAGACACTTTATTTCAATTGTCAATTTCACTTAATTTTTGCTAGTATCTATGTAATACTGGAATCTGTGCAAAAGATGATGCATAATCTGACTACTCAGCAAAAAGATTTAAAAAATCTATCCAAAATACACAAAATAAACTCCAAATTTCCTGAAACTAATTCACCTCTGTCTGTTGCACTTCGTAAACAAGAGGTGAAGGACACATGACGGATTACGTTTCACTGTTTAAATCTGTACCAACAAGTCTCAAGCCACTGGTTCTTGGTGTGGAACCGATAACACCAACTAAGCAGTTTACAACTCCCCACTTGACTAGCTCAAGCCAACAGACAAAAGCTTAACGGATTATTGACTATAGGTTTTGATTTGGCTCTTTTTCAAAGTAATCCGATGTTAGCTAATATTGCTTGATGAGGAAATTAATGGCTCGATGATATCCGCAACACGTGTCATAGCCGCCCTCAATCGATTCAACTTCACAACCTTATCGACTGACATTCCCTAACACACTACTCCTAACCTCAAAATTTCTGATCATATCATACCACTACTTAAAACCGGGGAAAGAACACGAACATGTCTGTTCAGAGATAGCTAGCCCCTTCGAGTCCTTCAGTTTCAATGACAATACCTCACAATCATAAAGAATGACAGAACTAAGTGCTGTGCAGTATACACGTCCCTCGTTCGATAGCCGGATATCACATCTACGCCAAAGATGACGTATATACAGCATATGCATCATGAAATAGGTGTTTCACAAGTTACGTCAAATGAAATAAAGCAACTGTGATCATGCATACAGCTAATGCAAAACAAAACACCACTTACTTTGTATTCTTTATGACGATTCTTCAACAGATCTAAACCGGAAGGAGTAGTTTTAGGATTGATATAATCAAGTACAGCTTGACGAACATCTAATGGCGGCTTATCAGCCTTTACAGCGGTATCATTCGGAACACTTTTTAGATTATTACCACTTGAAGGTGGATTTGTTGGTGACTAATAAACATTTTTTTTAAAGAAAAGAATAACAAAAATAAAATATTGCCATTTATTTATTTACTATTAGTGAAAATCATTCCGTCAAGTAAAACTTCTGGTCAAAATATCTAGTAAAAGAATTGCGAAATACATTCTAATTTTTAGTTTCTTCCTCTCTTCTAACTGACAGACAAACAACGAAGTGAAGTTAGCTACAAGGTATCCTATGAAGAAGACAATTCCATTCTGTCCAAGTGGGGCCTGTGCTTGCACCAGCTGAAGTATAACCACGACAACATATATTGTGAGCCGCAGGTCACCACTGCTTACGTAAATAAAAGAATATTTATGTACACTGATATTGTATTCAGAAGATAACAGCGACTAGATGAAGACATAGCGTGGCGTATGCTACCGATAAGATTGATCAGGCATATATATACATACGCACGTCTCCATTGCTTTCGGTTCTCTGCCAGCGTTTTCATCTGGCTCCACCTCTGCCCACATGCTTTCATCTCCTCTTCACACCACCACCTCCCCCATGTCACCCTCGAACTGACGACCAACTCGCCGCTTCTCGTTCGGGTTCCACTTGAGAGAGCCTGGCGTGTGATGTAACTTGATGGTTTTCTCAGAGTATGGCCAATCCAACTCCATTTCTTCCTCCTTATTTGTTGCACAATCAGTTCCTGGTTGGTTCGCTCCCTGAGGTCCTTGTGGCTGATCCTATCTGGCTCGCCATCTTATCTTGAGCATTGAGCGAAGACAGCTGTTGATGAAGGTCTGTAGTTTGTTTGAGGTGCTCTTCATGACGCGCCAAGTCTCTGATCCGTATGGTTAGTAGCACTGACTTCATATTGGAATTGAAAATTCGGATCTTATTTTTCATGCTGAGTGCTGTTGGCCTCCACACAGACTTGAGAGAAATGAGAGCTTGTCTTGCTTTCCCAATCCTCGCTTTGATATCCTTGTCAGTTCCGTTCGCCTGTAGTTGAAACGATGCTTCCTAGGAAGGTGTGTAGGTAAGGGAGGTCCCTTTTTCAGATTTCTTCTACCTATGCTGATTGTTATCTGTTGTTGTTGTTGCTGTTGGCCAGGAATCTTCACCACCTCTGTTTTCTCTACGTTCACCTAAAGTCCTATCTTCTCTGGATGCTTCTTCTGCCAACTTGTTGCTTTTCACTTGCATATCTTCCAGTTTGTGGGAAATCAGACATATATCATCGGCGAAGTCCACATCCTCCAAGATTTTTTCGTATGGGTCCATTTTATGCCTGTCTCCTCACTGCCCGCTGTGTTTATGTCGCATTATCCAGTCTATCGCAATCAGGAAAATCATTGCTTGTCTTATTCCCGTCTTCACTTCGAAGGATTCCGTGAGTTTCCCGTTGTGAATTACTTCGCATGAAGCCTTGTCGAACACCTGTTGGATGAGATGTATAATTTTCAGTGGCACCCCATAGTAGCGAAGTAGTTGCCAAATCACCTCTCGATCGACGCTGTGCTATCGAAGACCTTTCTAAATTCAATGAAGTTGAGATAGAGAGGTGACTGCCATTCCAGGCTCTGTTCAATGATGATCCGTAATGTGGCGATCTGATCAATGCATGACTTGTTTCTCCTGAATCCAGCTTGTTCCGGTCGAAGTTTTTCATCCAGGGCTTGTTTGATTCTCTCCAGGATGATGCGGCTTAGTATTTTGCTTGGGATGGACAGGAGCATAATTCCGCGCCAGTTCTTGCATTGACTTAAGTCTCCTTTCTTTGGTAGTTTGAATAAGTATCCTTTCTTCCAATCCTCGGGTACTTTGCCTTCTTTCCACACCTTCTCCAGTAGTGGCGTCATCAAGTCCGCTGTTGTCTCTGGGTCCACTTTCAATGCCTCTGCTGGGATTCCATCTGGTCCTGCTGCTTTCCTAGCTTTTAGCATCTTGATTGTCTTCAGGACTTCTGATTTCGTCGGGGGGTTGGTGTTCACTGGTAGCTCTGTCTCCGTTGTTGGTATTGTTGGGCGCGTTGTAGGTGGTGGTCGATTTAGGAGTCTTTTGAAGTGTTCAGCCCAGTGTTTCCTTTGCTCCACTTCTTTGGTGAGTGACTTTCCATTGTCATCTTTCACTGGCTTGATTTGTGTCAAACTTTCGCCCGATAGGTACCTAGTTGTTTGGTAGTGTTGCGAGGTCTCCTTTGCCTGCACTGCAGCTTGTTCTGCTTCACTTGCCACAGCTTCATTATATTTTCTTTTACCTTCTCTGGCACTCATTTTTACTCTTTTGTTCAGTGTCTTGTATCTTGCATTCAAATCCTGTTTTTGTTGCTCGTCGATGCACTGGAGAATCTTTTGTTTCACCATCCTTCTCTCTTCTATCAGTCTCCAAGTGTCCGTAGTGAGCCACTGTTTGTCCTGTCTCTTCTTTCTGCCTAGAACTGCCATGCAGGTTTGACTCCACACTGTTTTCAAGTTGTTCCAGTGCTTTTCGACGCTGACCTCTTCGCTAGTGTTGATTTGTGTCTCGGGTTTGTCTTTTATGCTTGCAGTGAAGACGTCCTTTGTGTCCTGGTCCTTCAGTTTTTGAGTGTTGAACTTGGCTTGTGGTCTATCTGCAGCTCCTGTTTCTCTGAAAGCTTTTAATTTGATTTGGATTGTCCCTTGTACGAGATAGTGGTCTGAGCCAACGTCTGCTCCTCTTCTTACTTTTGTGTCCAGTAAGCTGCGTCTCCACTTCCTGGAGCACCATTGAGATGAAGTCAAGTTGGTTTTTGTTTCTTCCATCTGGTGACACCCATGTAGCCTTGTGGATATCCTTGTGTTTGTATACGCTGCCACCAATCACTAGTTCATTGAAGGCGCAGAAGTCGGCGAAGAGTTCTCCATTTTCATTCATTTCTCCGAGAGCTTCTTTACCCATGATGAATTTTCTTCCTGTGTTGTCTGGTCCCAGTTTGGCGTTCATGTCTCCCATTGGTATTTTAATGTCACCGACTGGAATATTGTCCATTGTTGCGTGTAGTTGTCTGTAGAATTCTTCCTACTTTTTCAGGTCTGCGTTGTTTGGGTGTGCATAGCATTGTATAACTGACACTTTCCTATCTTTCGAGTTGAATCTGGCGGTCATTATCCTGGGCGAGATCGCCCCCCATTGCATCAGGGCTTTCGTTGCCGTTGGTGGCATCATGATAGCCACGCCCTCGGTGTGCATGTGGTTGTCTTCTGGGTGACCAGAGTAGATCACTGACTCTCCCGTTGACAATTTTGTGAGTCCACTCCCATTCTATCTGCTTTCGCATATTACCAGTACTTGAATACTATATCTTTCATGTCATTTGCAATCTGGGCAGCTTTGCCAGTCTCATACATACGTCCCCATACAGACTTTTTCTTTAGTCGCAAGGAGACTCATTCGTACTGAAGTTTCTGTAGCAACTTTGTTTACAGGGTGGGGTTGCTGGCTTTACGCCCAGGAAGGGGGTTTTTACAGAGGACGGACGGCCGCAACGTCGACCTTTTCTAACCGAGTCCATTTCTCCAAAGCAAGGAGAAACAGCATGACTGTCGTGCTGGCTATCCGAGGGAAACACCTCACTGATGTTACATCCCTGTGTATCTTTGTTCAAAAACTCCCAGCATAGTGTAAACAACTTACACTGTGAGTGTAGCTGCTTTTAGTCTTACCCCAACCCCACTATCCAAACAACCTTCTGGTATGATAGAACTTGCTGAAACACTTAGTTCCAGCCAGTTTAGTTCATTGTGTCATTGAAATAATGCCAACGCGCGACCATCACGTCAAGTTATTATTTAATGTACAGAACTGTGAGACTTTATCACATAAATTTACTCTGTGGTGGAATTATAACGTATATTTCCGTATTCTGAATCCCTTACCATATTGGAACCAGAAACATTCGCAGTAAATTCTGTTTTTTGACGACGTGAATCAAAAGTGTTTTCTTTTACTGTTTTCTTATCATCATCATCGAAGAAATCCTTCTCGTTAATGTCCAACATGTCTAGTTCATTAGAACCACCACCACCACCACCACCCAGACAACGGTTGATTGCCATTATCCATTGATTCAACAAGTTGAGCAAGTAAAAGCTCATCTTCATCATAATTTGTTTTACCCTATAATAATGAAAATAAGTAAATAGCCTTTGTTTAATTAAGAAAAAAACAACGCAACGGTGAATTTAGCTTTGACATTTTAAAAACCCTTCTTTTCTAGCATACTATCTGTAGGATTATTTTTGTCCTACAGATTTAGTCCTTCCTCAATACTGACGACACAGAGTCTTAACTTAGCTATAGTTAAAACAGAATGACTTGACTTAAACTTTATCTGTTTCTAAAACATAAAATAAATCATACAATTACACCAAGAAAAATGTACAAATCCACTGTCATTCAAAAAAGGACAAAAACGTACCGAACAGTATTGAGGGTACGGACAAAATGAACAGTAAATTAATTACATGTACACACAAATAGAGTGACAGACAGCAAAGAACATTCAAGGTCACATCACGTGGTGAGAGTTACAATAAATTGACCAATATTCGCGACAAGAAGGTCACATCATATTGATTAACTGTCTATCATATAGTCTATCTATCTATCGCGATTAACACTATCCTCAAATACTTGGAGATAAAAACACCCACTACAACTACTCAGAGTTAAAAAAAACCAAAATTCGTAAACTGACTTAGAAACTTGACTGACTAGACGCAGGACACACTAGTTACTTACTAACTAACCCAGTGTGTCCAATCAATCAAAGTACAAAGAACTTTTAAACTAGAGTAATTTTCATACACGGATAAAATCTGGGCACTGTGATAGAGAGTATACTTCCACTGTTGGATAAAATTTTTATTTCGATAAAGTCACAAAGTGTTACTGTGTGTGCATATGTGTGTGTTTCTGTATAACACTGTGTGACCTTATCAACAACAAAAATTTTATCCATAAGGGAGTAATTTTCCTCAAATAGTTTACACACAGTGTTACCTTTTCTAGCCATTGTAATAATAGCTATTGATGAAGTCAGAGGTTTGCATTCACCTATATTCCACTTAAATTTATTAACGTTTAAGCTCAATAACCTGGAACAGATTTTCCATGTGCTAGGCTACAAGCCACACACTTGTCGGGAGTGTCGGTTAGAGATACTACCCAGTTGCCCAAGCTGAAATAGGGATCAAGGCTAGAATCCGTGACCCTTCTACTGAAAACCGAGTGCTTAACCAATGAGCCTCATCTCCACCTATTTATACTCAATAACCAGTGTGAGAAAATAATTTCTAAATTAGTGAGATTTTTCAATCTTTTTCCTTAATGAAAATTGCTGAATGAACGAACTTACACAGCCTATCGAATTGATTCTTCATGACAAAAGTCGGGTTTAGGAAAAGCATTTGATACTATTCTCAACTAACTAGCTGGAACTTCTCAGTTAATGATGGTACTTCACTGAAAAGCCCCATATAAAACCTTTCACCTCAGATACTTAAGAACTATTCACAAATAAACACATTGAATGAGATGTGTACATATGCGGCTGATTGGCCATAAACAGGATGAAATGTGAATCCTCAGTTCCCCCGTACATCATCACAAAACAGTGAATAACTCAGATTCGACTTAATTTGCTTCACTCAAATCCATCGACAAGCCCTACTTACCTGAGTAGAAGACAAAGTTGTATTCGGAACCGTATGTGGCGGATTTTCTTTCAGTAAATCTAATAATTCTTGTTCAAGATCGTCATTGCTGAAGTCATCTTGGTTGATATTGTCATGTGTGTTATCCATTTTAGGAGAAAGCCACTGCATTGTGAAATACAAGCCCAAACAATTCTATCACAGTTGAAACCTGTAGCTTTGAGAAGTTTGCACGAGTGTTTATTTTGCCTTAAAAACACTCATCGGGTGACGGGGCTGGGGTTGGTTTTGAATAATGAGTGGAGTAGTAAACAATCGATTAACGTAGTATCTACGAAAACAATAAATCGTGAAAAATCGCACAATGAATGTTCTGAACTAAATAATTACTACGTGTTTTATAAGCGTTTTTTAGCTTGATCACCTCTAGAATAAATTTTGTCAGATATTCTCTTGTTTATGCTTTAATCATAACGTTATTGTGCGAGTATATATTAATAAAAGATAAGGATAATGATCCTCATACCTCCGCCAAGCATTAAGATGTATGCTCATCGGGACAATTAAACTCCATGTATCAAAGTAACCTGCTCGTTTACACTAAATGTTCAGACCTAATCGATTGATGGAGAAATGAATACAACAATTGTGACCGGTGAGAGTTTAACCAGCAGCACTCATCATTCTTAACATATCTAATTCCCACCACTGCTTGCTGAAGCATTCATAGCCCTTCAGCTTTATTGTTTAGTTAACTGGTTAAAACTAAGTTACCCAAAAGACATTTTCGCTGCACTCCAAGCTATTAGCCATGCACAGTGTGAGGTATGATAGTAGCACCCAGTAGGTGTAGTGAGACTCGAACTCAGCATCCACTCACTGAAAACCATTCTCCTAAACTATTAGCACCACAAAACACTGAGTGTTTGGGGCAGCAAAATCCCTTCTTGACTGGCTCCCAGTAGATAGTCGTATGTGTGCGGCCCGTTAGAAGAAGGAAGGACAGCGTTACCCATCGTTGTCTTTTCATAGTCTCCGCATACGCCTCAACAGACTGAAGTTCGGATGAACTAAGGGATGATTTCTACCAGTAACAGTCTAGTTATTTTAGCAGGTGACTTCAATGCCCAAGTAGGGAAGTTGTGCCAGACTGAGGAGTATATAGATGGTACGTACGGAGTTCCCTGACGACGAAAAGACAACGGTGATCGTCTTCTAAAGTTCTGTTCAGATAATCATCTGTTCCGAGTGAGCACTAAAGGCACAAAGAGAGACATTGTGTAACCTGGCGACCTGCAACACCAAATCAACGCTGGAGTCAAATAGACCACGTAGCGATAGGCTATCGTTGGCGAAGGTCAATAGAAGACTGCCGCTCCTTCTGGAACACGTGCGTAGACTCCGATCACACTCTGGTTTGCGCACGTTTATGCTTACAATTGAATGGTCATAAGGAGCTGTTGGCAGCGAAGCAGTTACGTTACCAACTAAATCAAGACACTGAGTCCCTATTTAAGGAAGAAATAGTGAAACGAGTGTCTGAGATCAACAGCAAGAGCGCCCCCCCCCTGAGGAAGCCTGGCACAATACACAGTTAGCTGTAGACACAGCTGTAAATGCTGTTAATAACTTAAAACCAAAAGTTACTAAGAGCCAATGGATTTCTACACTACCTCATCCGAACTAATTGAGGCAAGAAAACTGATTCTGACGGGTTTCAAATACGATGAGGAGCGAAAGCTGCTCAAACGCAAACGAACAAGAAGTCTTCGCAACGACCGTGAAAAGTGGTGAACGACAAAAGCATCGGTGACAGGTAACACCAGACAACTAACTATTTGGACTGATCAGGGAAACAGGTGGTAAGAGGCAAATGATAAGTGAAACAATCTCTGAGAAAAATGGCATCATAATTAGCTCTCAGGATAGACGAATAGAACGCAGGAAAGAACACTTTGAGGAGCAGTTTAGTTGGCCCACAGCCACACTCAAATTACCGCACATCCAACACTTCCCTGAATGGGATATAAACACAGGTCCTCCGTCCCTAACTGACGTTGCGAAAGCGATCACTAATCTGAAGCGAGACTAAACAGCGCCACCTGATGGAATGACTCCTGAAGTGTTTAAGCACGGTGGAGACAGTTTACTGTCTGCGTTAACTAGAGTATTAGGCAGCGTATGGGAATCTGAGTTAGTCCCGTCGGCCTAGTATAAGTCATTGATTATCCTGATATACAAGAAGGGAGACAAGTCTTCCTGTGATAATCACAGGGGGATCAACTTGACCGATATGGTATCTAAAGTTCTAGGCTCAATAATCATGCGTAGGCTAAGCGGTTTTTGAGAGGAACAAAGACGAGAGAGCCAGACAGGCTATAGACCAGGAAGAAGACGTTTTGATTGAATCCTCACCCTCCAAGAGATACTGGAAGGAACATAGGCATGTTTACCGACAAAATAATTAGGGTCGTATATAGAATAATACATAAGGTGTATAGATTTTGGAAAGGGGTACATAATTATAAGATTAGTAGACGAATATAAAATGTTACATAACATGGTGTGAAATTTGACAAGATAGAATTCAATATTGTAAAAAATAAAAATATAAAAATTAATAATTTTGGGTTTAAAATGTCAAGTGGAAAAGATTCAGAGTGAGAATAGTAATAATGATAATGACAATAATTATAATCGTAGTCCCTTATCACTTAACCTACTTGACATTTTAAACCCAAAATTATTAATTTTTATAATTTTATTTTTTACAATATTGAATTCTATCTTGTCAAATTTCACACCATGTTATGTAACATTTTATATTCGTCTACTAATCTTATAATTATGTACCCCTTTCCAAAATCTATATTTACCGACGTCCAACAATCGTCATATTTCTTGACTTAAAGACGGCATTCGATTCCGTCGACCGACAGGTATTCTGGCGATGTTTGGCTGTGAAGGGAATGCCGAGAACATACATTGCACTAATCAAGACACTGTACTCGAACTCGAAGGCTCGTTCCGCATATGCCAGTTTATGCCATCTCTGGCGTAGACTTGATATCCGACTATCGATCAAAGGACGTGTGTACTGCTCAGCAGTCCTCTCCGTCCTCCTTTATGGCTGTGAGACCTGGCCATTGAAAGTAGAAGACATGAAAAGCCTGGATAGCTGTCTTTGATCATAGGTGTCCGCGTTGTGTCTCCTGTGTTAAGTGGTATAATGGAGTGAGCAATATTGAGGTGAAGCATCGGTCGATTCCTAGATAAGGAGGGAGGAGAAGTCAATCGACGAGGTTGTGAAGTTACACCAATTGAGATGGTTAGGACATGTGTTACTCATGCATGAGGCCTAGCTATCTCCTTCTTCGATGGGTAGTGTTATCTGATATAGGATGGAACAGGTTGGAAAAGAACTGCTAGTGGTGGTCAAATCAGTCATCATCATCAGTCAATGAAGAAATCCACAACAGTTAGTTTTAGTCAGTCACGTAAGAAGGTGTAGACTTCCTGACTGTTTGGGGTCCTCTGGAGGGTAGAAACCAATGAAGGCTGGAGGCAGTATGTGATATGGCTCAAAATCGTTCCGAATGCATTGCGTAGGTGCATCCACTTCGTATGATTTATAATATCCAATAAAACTGTATTGTTCTTCCATATTACTATTCCTGATTTTCCTCATATTTTTGTTTGTTATCTGTGTCTAGAATCTTTCCTACTCTCTTGCCTGGTTTTGTGTGCTACGTAGTGTGGCAACTCAAACTGCTGCATACCTGTACAAAGTTCTACGTCGAAACCAATCAGTCAGTCACTGTATCACACGTATATGCTGTTCTCCATACCAAACCCAAGCAAACTACACTTTCTTACACACTTTGCATCAACAGTGATTTCATGAATTGAAACTATTTCTCATTACCGGCACACTCAGCCATTCATTCTCACTTACTTAAGCTAAAATTGCACAACGGATGTGATAGAGGGTGAAATATAAACTTCGCAGTCATCCTAAGTTTGAAACTTCCTTGTCTCAACTAGGATTTCTCAGTTAGGAAGAATTATCACTTTGAGGTATAGGCGGGTAAAATTAAAAGATCAGAAGGACTTTTCGAAAAGTCCTTCAAAGTAATATACAAGATTCAATCAAACCTATCAAAGGGAGTGAAATCAAGACATTTGGGCATAGCTGAGGCGTTAGCTATCCAAAAACTCAAACCCACCCTTTGTATCCAAAAGAAATACATTCAACCCCTGTCCCTGCCATGGCCATCGTAAACAGGTAAATTTTTTAATAATGACCATCCCATCGCCTTTCTTATCTAAACTTCCTGTTTATTCATGTTATTTTAAACTTTCTTAATCCCTGTCTACACTACCATATTTTCATATCCACACTTCCTGTTTATTTTGTCATTTTATTATTTCTACATATTTAATCCCTGGTTGCATAAACAATTATTCATCACACTAGTTTCTTATCCAAACATCCTGTATATTTTGTTATTTTTACATTTCTAACCCCCAATTGCACAATGTCAATTTTCTTAGTTATTATGCTACTTTGTTTGAGTTTTACCCATCCCCCTGTTTATTATGGCATTCTAATTCCTAATTGTAATTTTTATTAATTCAACCCCTAACCAGAAATTGTTCTGGAACTTTCCCATCCATTTGATATAAATACACGAATGTACAGCCTAGACGATGACTTCGTCGAAAAGAAAATTTTCTTCGCTGCAACTGTCTTTTTATTCCCTATGATCAAATGTGTATATTCCGTGATTTGAAAACGAGCAAAGAATTATCACTTTGAGGTATAGGCGGGTAAAATTAAAACATCAGAACTCATCAAAACAAACTAACTAGCACAAGTCAGCAATAAGATACTTAAATTTTCAGGGAGAGGTGAAAATAATAACAGAATTTAAGATCAGTTAATTTATAGGGGTCAGTAACAAGTTATTACATAGTCAAGAAATTTATAAACAAATTATGATGACTAAGAAGAATAGGATGATACAGACAAGTTGACTGAATTCGCTAGAGTTGTAATCATAATAAAATAACAAAGTCAAAAGATGTGATAGTTACAAGGGAAGGGAAAGTCGTTTGTAAAACATAAAACACAACAAAAGAAACGAGTTGCACAAACTTCTTCTGAACACAGATTTGGCTTAGTCAGATGAATTCCGATTGCCACTGTGTATGGAGAAGTGATACTCGTCGATCATGCGAAAAGTTGGCTAGGTGAAATGGGATAAATAACTTTAGAAACACTTGTTAAAATCAATTTGATATCCAGTATTGACGAGATGAACTAGTATGCAGCTGCGTATGACCTTTTTCGGACTTTTGCCAAACTAAGATGGGAGATATTCGGAGATTCAACCATGAACTTGCCTCATTGTATGACCAGTGTAAGTAGCTACGCTGGAGAAGTTAAACTGGTGAATACACATAGAAGAGGCGAAACAACGAAGTTTGTGTTCATTTTTTGAACTGTGTATTAATTGGCTTGTGAATTAACATCATAACTTAGCTGAGTTAAAAGTCGTTCTGAACGCCCTTCTCAGACATTGTGATGAAATTTCACTAATGACATCTCCTGTAAATCGCAATTTTAGGAGCCTCGGATTTTCGAGAACTGTGGATACTCTGGTGTGTTTACTTGTTAAATCCATGTGTCTGTTCAAAAATTTTGTCGGATATCGTTCCTACTTAGTGGGTCACGAATATTATCAAGCTCTTCGTAGTGTTTCATTTGAACAAATAACTTCAGTCTGGTTTACCAAACATCTGGCCAAATTACGTTTGTATTAATATAATGTGATATATATTTATTCATGTCTATATTGGAACACATCAGTTGTATAGGCATGGATAAGTATTATTCAAATTACATAAATTTGTTAAACAATATCGTTTTGTTTTTCATTCATTGGGAAAAAAGAGAAACCTTTATTATAATGAATAAATAAATTTGGTTTGTAGTGAATTTATACGGTTGCTGTGCTTTTTGACTATAGTTTGTGGGAACCGCCTGCTAACTAATCATTTAATGCAGCACATAAAGAAATGTAGGAATATTGTCTTCGCAATAACTAAAAACGAAATAGAGTCATTTTTCTCTTCTTTGGTAAAACTTATGACCGGATGTGCTTTATTGACTTCCTCCAATATGTCCGTTGCCTCACTTTCTTACCACAAAACTATATATTTATCATCAGCATAACGAAA